GGAGCTGCTGTAGGAGGAAGAGGAGAGCCACAGGGAAGGCAGCAGCATCAGTGTTTCCACAGGGCCCCGTGTCCCTTCTCTGCTCCAGGTGATGGGGGGGAGAAGGCAGCCCCCTCGTCAGCGGGGTGGCTCAAAAAGGTACTCCAGGTCCGGCTGCCGCAGCCTCTGCTCCCTCTTCTTGTTCTTGGCAAACTCCCTCAGCATGGCCATCACGTCGTTCTCGAATTCGGCCGGCGTGGGCTTCGCTTCTGCGATAAAAACAGAAAGGGGCAGCGAAAGGACAGGTCCGTCCTGTCCCAGAGCACCCAGTACCACGCTCACCCCACCAAGCCCAGCTCCCACGGCCCGGAGCAATGACGCTGACTTGGCCGGTGCCCCAGTGTCAGAGCGGGCAGGGCAACAGGCAGCTTTGCACCGTACCGGTGGCCCAGTAGTAAATGTCCCAGTCGTTGCTGGGCTCGTTGATGAGCCGGTCGTAGAGGTTCAGCTGCTGCTCACTCATGCGGTTCAGGTTCTCCTTCGCAAAGAGGCTGGAGAGAGGACATATGAGGATGAGTGCGGGTAACCAGAGGAAGAGCCAGGCTGGCATGCTGCTCCCGACCACGGCTAGCACCCAGCTCTCTACACGATGCCAGAGGACACAGGGGAGCTGGGTCCCCTTGCCTTCAGCCCCAGCCTGCTCTCCGTTAAGCACTACATCAGTCCCAAAACCCGACTGGCCGTGCCTCATTCATACATCCCAGAAATTACATACATCCTTCCCAAGGGATTTTGGCTCAGCCATCAGCTAGGAGCTTCCTCCAGAGCCTTCACCTGCCTCCGGCTGCCTCTGGCTGTACCCCGTCCTGCCTCGCAGCAGCACTGATCGCTGCATCCCGGACCCATGCAAGCAAAACTCTTGCGGTGATTTATCCAAAGGCTCAGCCTTCTGTCCTCTAAGCAACACCACATCTCCTTAGGTTTTGGATTATGGCTGTGCACTACCCCAGCAAACTCTTTCCTGCAACGCTTGG